AAAATGTAAAAAACCACGTGATCCCAATTGAGTATTCACTGGTGTCTACTGATTTTTTTTTTTTTTTTTATTAAGTTTATAGCTGTGTTTTTCTTTATTTAGTTTGAGTCATTCTATGTGTCTATATGCCGTCTGACTTTCTATGTTTTTATTAAGCAAAATTCAAATATTTTTCATATATATTTAGTCAGGTGTGCCGCTATATATTTCATGTGTTCAAAGTGTGCCGTTGGCAAAAAAAGGTTGAGAACCACTGCATTAAGTAATGTATTGAAATTGTTCGCGTGCGATAGCACGAGGGTGTATATAACGCAATGTCTTGCACGAGAACATTAAACAACTTAAAATACAGACACTATCCAGCACATGCATTTCAATGAAATACGTCACGCGGGTTCAATATTGGAACTAGTATTGCACAATGTATGTTTAAACAAGCAATACGTAAACTTGAAACTGTATTATGTTAAAGACATGTCTGGTTATGTCTTATTAATAATTGACATGTGAACATTTCGTCTTGTGGAATCAAGAAGCGTTAAAGGCTAATTATATCACTCCGTAGGTCGAGTTCAAAAAGTATTCCCCAGGAATTACGTCAGCATATGATCAAATGAAACCTTTTATCCATTTCCATGGTAATAATGTCGAGTCTGTGTATATACATCGTTCCATTGTATTCCCTGTAGGCATCCCAGACATCGTGAGCATTGGAACATATAAAATGTTTTTATTCTTCTGCCTAATTGAATGTAAAATCAAATATCATTTACGCCTGAGCAATTCATTGGCTTTATAAATAGGTAGAGGTGGGTGTGTCGGTTGATACCTTCGAATACCAGCGTCTAGTCGTTTGAGTGGGACAAATGAAGTGAAATAGGGTTTAAAGGGACAATAACACTCTTGCTGGCTTGACAGCTCCAGAAAATAAAAAAATAGCCTTATTCTAAGTACTAATGTGTTAGTGTCCTACCTGTTGTGTAAATTATCCATTAAATCCTATTTTACTTATCCAGAGGGTTCAAAAATATTTTTAAATCCAAGTCACATTTGAAAAGCTTTACGTCAGACTTTTCAAATCATTTAGTTAAATTTTTCCATTTTTTTTAAATTAGGTGTGTTAAGATGAAATTTGTATCATCAATTAATTGGAATATTGTAAAATAGTGCAATTGTTGACCAGAATAAAGATTGGGACATATTCAGTTACAACAAGAGTGGTATTGAGCCTTTAACGTTCTACTGTCCTGGTGCTACTGGGCTAATTACGACGACCTTTTGCCACACAGTGTGCGATGAGGGAAATTTTGCCCGGGCAGCGGCACTATGGCCTACTCTTATATTCCAACTGTCAAGGGATCGTTTACGTGCACGCCAATGTATACACAGGTTTTTGGTCCCATCCGAACGATTAGACAGCTGACCTTATCAGGCCCTCCGTTCTGCACCACTAGGAGCCACGGTGGCTAGGTGGTTAAGACGCTAGCTCGCTAGCCTGGAGGTCGGGTGTTCGATCCCTGCATTGGCCGAGAAAGTTCATCGGGATTTTCCGACGTGGTTTCCCCTTGTCAGTGGTGCAGAACGGAGGGCCTGACAAGGACAGGTGTCTAGTCCTTTGGGTTAGACGAAAAACCGAGGTCCCGTGTATATATTGGAATGCACGTAAAAGGTACCCTGGCAGTTGCAATTCGATAAGAGTAGGCGATAGTGCCACTGCCCGGGCAAAATTTCCCTCATAGCACACTTGTGTGAAGATTTTTAAGGGTGAGAAAGATAACCTATGATCATATAATAGTGAGTTGACAACCTATTGAGCAAATGACATAGAAATAATTATGTTTTGACTTCCTTAGAAAATATGAAATTGTATCTTTAACTTGGGTTCATTGGTGTCAGATACTCATTTCCATACTAATAATTTGTTGGATAAAATGATATTATTCCATCGATATATTTTATTTAATAACTAGTGATGTATTTATACAGACTGGTTGACATCGACTAGAGTAATATCGTATTTCAGTACAGAATGAATTTATCTATATTTATGACAGGAGTCGTTATGTAAATCAACATCGAGTAATGGATATGATGTACCGTAACACGAATTCAATTCTCTGAGTCAAATATTCAATTTGTTAATTTATCTATTTATGACCGTAGTGGAATCCGTGATCTGAGGGAAACCTGATTCGTAAATACAATGTCGTTCTTCATTATGCCGGGTGGTGCAAGTAAGTAATGATGAGATGGGGTAGTGAGTTTTAGATTAATATAATTTGCTGTAGATTTTGATCAGTTTGGTCCTTTGATTTGTTGATTGGACATTCGATGAGTGATATAATTCCTTAAAAAGTTATAAATCTTTGATTTACTTGTTTTGTTGTTTTTGCTGTTTTAAGGAATTTGGGGTCAGTAATTTGGTCCTTTGATTTGTACTGTAGATTGGACATTCGTGGAGGGGTATAATTGTTTTGAAGTAATAAATCCGTGTTTTAGTTTGTTTTTGAGCTATTTTAAGGAATTTGGCGTCATTTAACTTCTATAGTCTTTGATTTAACTTGTTTTGTTTTGTTTTGTTGGGTTGGTTTTTTTTAGCTATTTTTAGGAATTTGGCGTTACTCTTTGAGTTAGTTTATTTTTTTAGCTGTTTTAGATTTGGACATTTGATTTTTAAAGGACAATATTGGTGTTAGTCATTATTACATATGTGATAGAACTGGTTAAACACGTTCCAAATATAATTTTAACAGAGATCATTGCTACGATAGATGCGTAATACAGTTTTCAACAATGGGAAGTGACGAACGCAAAAGGAAAACACGAGTTATCCCTCTGTATAACTGACTGAAGTGACGGGTGACAACAGATACATGGGCGAATTTCTGCTCACTAATATTTCCTTCGAAGAACAAAAGTTGTTGTGTGAGACTGGGCGAGGATATCTGACAATTCATAAAAAGAATTGACTGTCACTAGATAAGAGAACACGAAAGAAAAATAGAAAATGTCCGTGCATTACCATGTTTTTATAAGGTATAGAATGAATAAAAACAAGGGAATGTACGGACTATTTCTATTTTTCTCGTGTTCTCTTATCTAATAACATTCAATTACTTTATTGAATCGTCAGATATCCTCTTACAGTCTCATATAACAACTTTTGGTCTTCGAAGGAATTATTAGTGAGCAGAAATTCGCCCGTGTATCTGTTATCACTCGTCACTTCAGTCAGTTATTTAGAGGGATAACTCGTGTTTTCCTTTTGCGATCGTCACTTCCGATTGTTGAAACATTTATTACGCATCTGTGGTAGCAATGCTCTCTGTGTTAAAATTATATTTGGAATGTGTTTAACCAGTTGTATCACATATGTGATAATGACTGACACCAATATTGTCCTTTAAATCCTTGATTTTGTTTCTGTTAGAAGCGGTTTTAACCTCTTTAGATAGATTGTTTGATGACTTGATAGATGGTGTCAATCAGTGACATATTTAACGGTGTATATATGAAAACTATTTAAACAGTTTATTGTGAATAATTGCAATAAAGCGGATATAATATACCCTGTAAAGCCATTGAGGAGTTTCACTAGGCTTTATTGATAAGAGTCTCGCATCGATGAAGTATGAAACGCATTTAACACCGTCATTAATATTATCTACATAAGGAACTGACATTTTGAGCGTATGTGTGCATAATTAAATATTTACAAAGGAGTTACTGTGCTGGAACAGAGAATAACAAATTCATGCAAGTTTGCAAAAAATACATTAAAACTTTGAGAAACATTACGAGAAAAATACGTTAATATTTTACAGTGAATGATTGAAGTTGCGGAGACTTTGTCGATTGTAAATTGTCATTATTGCTCTTATTAACGAACAAGTAGCCGTGGTGTTAACACGTGGTATTTCATTGAAATAAAGGTACATCGGAAAGTATGGATTATTGATATATTAACCAGTAAAAGTCTTGATGATAGATCTAAATACAAAACAGATTTGACATCATAGACTAAAAGATAATAACACTGGGTGTTTATTAAGAGGCGTGGGCAGACCAATCGAACGGCCGAGTCGTATAATCAGTGCTAATCGCTGAACTGATCATCACTTACAGTAGAGAATCTATAGATGTCCTGTAGAAAATGGTATTACCGTGTACTATTGTTATAAGCTCTCTTAACGCCGGATGTTGAGATGTCGTGAAGTGGGATATAATAATGGATATTATATAAGTAACAAATAATTATTGTAATTACAAGCACAGTAGACTTACACAGTGTGCATTATATTTTATTTAATAGTATTTCTAATGTGATAAACTCTGACGACAGTAGTTGGTGTTAATATTATCACATTCTTTCAACTGAGAGACATTTAATATAATATCTACTGTGATAGACATTGACGACAGTAGTTCGTATTAATATTATCACAATCTTTGAACTGAGAGACAATTAGTCGATATTATGATTTATTAGTAGAGATTCCGATCAACGATCAACAGTGGATTACGAGAATAGTTTATAACAAGTACGCATGAGAGGTGCACGTGGTCTTCAATAGACAGCATCAAAGGGGGTACGTGTATAGCGAGGAAGTTACTGTGGACCAAGAATGGAACCGAATAGATCATGATTATACTTTTAAGTTTTGAAAAAAGTTATTATTGATGAGTTTTAGCCTAGTTGTATTAGACTATGACATATATTTAAATACATTGTATAAGTAGTTTAAATTGGATGAATAGCAGAGAGTCCTCATAGGTGGAACATACGTGGATGAGAGTTGTGTAATTACCCCCTAAGGATATTAAGAGCTGTTTATACACTACTTGAGAAACAGCGAGGATAAACTATTTATCAATGACTGGTTAATATCATTTAATATATTGATCATGTGGATTGTGTATTTTAACACACCAATACAATTAGACCGATAAAACCTCAATCGGTGCAATCAGGATACTTCAAGAATTACTGCGGCCTTAATATGGCGGCTATCTATACCCGATTTAGATCGAAATCATGTTCAGTTAAAAGGACTAAAGATACATCCAATAAAGGCCCACCCACACCACCGGAAAAAAGACTTACCATACCCGAAGAATTGTTTCGCAGACGATGTCTCAGGTTTGTAAAAATTTTGATTATATTGTGATGACAGTCGTAATCACTATTTATAGCCTATATGTCGAATTACAATGTCATCAGTATTAAATATCTCGTATGACGTTGTCATCAGTATTTGTATATGTCGAACGACAATGTCATCAGTATTTGTATACATCGAACGCCATTGCCATCCGTATTTGTATATGTCGAACGACAATGTCATCAGTATTTATATATGTCCAAAGACAATGTCATCAGTATTTGTATATGTCGAACGCCAACATCAGTATTTATGTATGTCGAACTCCGATGTCATCAGTATTTATATATGTCGAACGCCGATGTCATCGGTATTTGTATATGCCGAACGCCAATGTCATCGGTATTTGTATATGTCGAACGCCAATGTCATCAGTATTAAATATCTCGTATGACCATGTCATCAGTATTTGTATATGTCGAACGCCGATGTCATCAGTATTTGTATATGTCGAACGCCGATGTCATCATTATTTGTATATGTCGAACGCTAATGTCATCGGGATTTGCATATGTCGAACGCCAAAGTCACCAGTATTTATATATGCCATAATTATTATGTTGAACGACAATGTCATTAGTGTATATGTCGAGAACGGCAATGGCATTAGTATTTATATATGTCGAACAGCAATGTCATTTCAATCTGTACATGTATAATTCAGGACGATAATTCTATTCACCATCGGTAATTGGTAAAATCAGTAGAAATCGATATAAGCCTATGATCGGACATTTTGTCGGTACCAGAGTCGCCGATATCTGTTCAAAAAGATTAGGTAAATGTCTTTAAAATATCGCTCGGTTGTGATCAAACCATTCGCTCTTGCACGTCACTCAGTTCTTTCAGTTATGCGGTAGTCTCCGTGCGTGAGACTGGGAGCCTAAGGGGTTACTCAATTGAACGTTCCGGAATTGAAATCTCTCAATCCCAAAAATAGTGAAAATGGGTATTTCGGGCTACAACGCATGCGTCGACTGGATAAGTAAATATCTCAACCACCCATGCAGCCGAAACATATTTGTTGTGTTTAATTACGTCACGATTCTATTCACGTACACCACCCCCGTGGTCGCGGGGCTGACAGAACTGTGACATGACTGAATTCCGCGCCACTCGATTGCAATTCTGTCAATTGGGGACGTTCTGGGCCCTTATTCACGAAAACTTAAACTAAGATACAATCGAAATTTTAAGAAATACTGCAATTCGATTGGCTGACCAGTAAAATCAATTTGCGTATATCCAATGAAGTTACAGTATTTCTTAAAATTTCGGTTGTAACTTAGTTTAAACATGCATTATGCAAGAGCAAAATCTGCTTATTATACGCCTGAAATGTTATCTAAATTATCAATTAGACATTAATTAACTTATCCAGACCATAATAAACTCTCGATGTCAAGGCTAGCTTTCGATGTTGGCTGGATTAGATTCTTTTTTCCCGCTAGCGGCCGTTGATAATTAAATCAGAAAAAAGTGGATAATCGAGACTATGCTGTTTATATTAATGATTTTAGTAATGATGACCGAGACTATGCAAAAATTTCACCCGCTTCTTTCTCGGCTCATAGGGGATCAATTTGACTAAAATTTTCAGCAAATTACCTTTACACTATCTAGTTTTTAACTATTATAGCGAGAACTGCCATCTCTTTATCTTATCTCCAATAATGTATCTTTAAGGTTTCGTGAATAAGGGCCCAGCTGGACTGTGAATCGAGCATCCCCTATGGTATAATACAAGACCGTAAAAAGGAAAGAATAACAATGTAATATCCTAACCGCTCTAATTTTTTAATCATTATCAACTTTTAATAAACTCATAATAATTAATAATAGGACAAACAAATAAGTTCCCGAAAGATGGTGATGTGTGTAGTTTCAACTCTATTTATAGAAAAGGCGGGAGAGTGTCACGTGATTAGGTCAACAATAACGAAGACGAGAAGTTATATGACTGCATGAAACATTTCTGACAGGTACCGATAAATTTAGGAATTTATATCGTACTGACATTTAACAGCTAATTAATATCAGATCATACATTATTAACCATACACCAAATACATTTCTAGGAACTGTAATGGTTAATATTATTATTTATGGCCGTCACTATCGGTACTTGTTTGTGTTATGTATCGGCCGATTAATCGTAGCTACCCTAATATTTGTACATATCGAAACCGTAATGTCATTAGAATTTATATACCGAAACGACAATGTCATTAGTATTTCTACTCCTTGTTACGTACATTCAGGTAATCGAAACCACACCATTTGACTCCATGACAGATCTTATGATACAGCGGACACACACTAACCACCGGGCCATCCATAGTGAACTGTTAGCATAAATTCCCAGTTTCAGTATCATTAAAGGCTCAATATACCACTCTTGTTGTAACTGAATAATATATCCCAATCTTTATTCTGGTCAACAAATTGTACTATTTTACAATATTCCAATTAATTGATGATACAAATTTCATCTTAACACACCTAATTTAAAAAATTGGAAAAATTCAACTAAATGATTTGAAAAGCCTGACGTAAAGCTTTTCAAATGTGACTTGGATTTAAAAATATTTTTGAACCCTCTGGACAAGTAAAATAGGATTTAATAGATAATTTACACAACAGGTAGGACACTAACACATCTAGTACTTAGAATAAGGCTATTTTTTATTTTCTGGAGCTGTCAAGCCAGTAAGAGTGTTATTGTCTGTTTAATGTGCTTGCTACTCACACTGGTATTTTATTAAATTTGTCATAATAATTATGATGCTTGATTACTGACAGGTACAAAATGGCCAGGGGTTGTTTCTTTCTCAATGTATGTCATTAAAATGACCACACCTGAATATGTTAAATTACCTTGATGCAGTAGCGTCACACCCATTGGGTGAGAGTTGGCAAAATGTCAGGGGCCCTCAGGGGCAGATCCAGAGGGAGGGGGTTTGGGGGGTTCAACCCCCCCCCCCCCCCAGCTACATACAAAATTTTTACAACCTTTTTTATGAGAAAAGTGTCATAATTGTGCTTTATCCTTTATCGTCAGATGGTGCGACAGGATGCGCACTCAAAGCGCGAGATAATGATATAGACATATGTGATATCACAATTAATTAAATTGAATCACAATGTCATCGTATTAATTCATAATAAAAATTGACGTCAAACAGGATGTTGGATTTCTCTGTTTAAAAAGTTTATTTTAGGCAACTCCCCTTTTAACATAAACCTTGTGTACAATTTATAACTGGTCTGAGTTTTTCAGATTTTTTTTTTTGAAAGCTTGATGTGATTGTTTGGCTATAATCATAAGGAGGAACACTATCAAAATTTGTTATTACCCCCGACACTGAGAATTTTTAGGGTACCGATACTCCCCTTTTGACCAAAACCTTATAAACAATCTATAACAAGATTTTTTAAACACTTGATGTGATTGTCTGGCTAATAATAAGCAGGAACCCTAACCAGAGAGAGATGGGGTTTAACGTCCACTCGACACAAACTAGGTCATTTCGGGACTAACAAATGGTTCAATTTTATTTCTATAATTCGCTTTCCGAGGACCTTAAAAAAAAGCTGCTGGTAGGTATATATTTCATGACTGGCAGTGCTATCTTTAGATTTTAACGTGACTATTTGTTACTTAATAGTTTTTAAAACATGAGAAACTTTATGGTTATTACTTTATATTACCATATTTAAAGGAGCTAAATCGCTAATATTTGGGACCTAGAAATTGACCCAAATGGGTAGCATTAGCAATGCATATAATAACGTATTCTGATTGTATATAAACTGATTTACATTCAATTGTTTTCTTTTTGACTCTTATTTCAACTCAGTTATATGTATGTCCAGCGAAATACGGCATGAGTCTCAACCGCATGGCAATTTCTAGCGTCTGGTTATTCCAGTCTATTGTGCATGCCCTCAAGTTAAGATATGGCATCACCATTTGACATGAGTTGTGGAATTATGTCTAGCTTCGTTCTTTCTGGTCACTTGTTACAAATGACGCTGATACGCACTACAGTACCCGATTCGTGTACCAATGGTAAAGTGTTTATTTTGTCTTCAATATTGGATATCAGAAGTTTACCTTTTCCTGGTAAGATCACAACATCAATGTTGATTTGAATTGACAAATAATTCGTGTTTTCAACGTTTAAGACTTTGAATGATATTGAGTTGGAGACTTCGCTACTTTAAGATCATGAGTCTATATTTCGCTATGGCGGTATATTGACGTCACCCCTATCTATTTGTGTCATTCAGTTGATCAGTTGTTTGCCATACGTTATCACAATCCATCATTTTGAAATTTATATATATTATTTACATGTATATTTAATATTTACAGTCGTTAAAAAATATGTCAATCTATTTCTAACACTGCAACAACCATTGTGGACAATTAACCCAGACGATATAGCATCTGTTAGACTTAAATTATGATTTGTTGCCTGGCAAAATATCTCTATACTTCTTATCATTAAAAAAAATAAAAGTAGCATAGCTACACATTTATTTTTTTATATTGACTTTTCTGTCAATTTATGTTCAGAGAGTGAACGGGTCAACTAACAGAGTGTATAGAGTTGTATAACGACTTCGATGAATCAATACAAATTTCATGTTTATGGTCGACTTATAAATTTTGTACAAAAAACCTTGATGGTTAAATTTATGGTTCATTGAACTAAAGGTCGATATGTTTATGTCGTTGAAATTTTGTTTTGCGTCACGATCCTTTTGTTGATGAGAAATTGTGAAATGAATATTATTTATGGGCAGATGTTTCATTACTACTCATTATATTATTTTAAACGTGTATATTTGTCGACCATATCATGATTATTGATCAAGAGTGAGTGCTCTTTTAAATGATATCGGGTTTAACGTCCTACTGTTTTGCGTCGACTGGGCTAATGAAAATGGGAATACATCATACAGTGTACTA